CTTTTATTTAAATGTAAATATAATCTAATAATATGACCCCTTGATTTTAATTAAATTTTTTATCTAATAATATACAAATTACGTATATTTATAGACTATTCAAATAACATCATCCAAACAAGTTGCTTGCCCTTAGTGCCATTCTACATCAACAAACCAATATTTTCCTATTCGTCTGAATTTGGACTTTGTTAATATTTTATTCTTCATCCGTAAATGTTTCCGAACCAAGCTTTGAAAATTTTTAAGATCTTTAATATTAACATTACACTTTAAACTGCCCAAAGGTCCTGGCCAGGAATCTAAAAGTGTTATAAATTGTTTATACCCAAACATCCAACTGGATATATCGAGAAAACGAAGCTTTGGTTGTAAGAGTCGTGTAAAATCCGTCATTAATGTATCAACTACCAAAACTTCTCTTAGAGTTCCTAAAATACTAAGCGTCTCTAAGTTCTGACATTCTCGTAGAATGACAAATAAACGTAGTATAAGTTCATTAGAACTAATCCTTATAGTAAAATTCCTAAGATTTTGACAATTTTGTGAAATAGTATTCGGAATACCTGGACAAATATCCCAATACACAAGTATACTAAGGCTTTTTAATGATCGCCCGTTATTTTGAATAATTTGCGTAATAATCCCACAATGATGATCTTCCTTAATGTCACTCTCTAGATCAAAATATGTATCTGTAAATGAAAGTTCCTCAAGATGTGGAAACACTACATTAGCAAATGGCTTTTTTTCTCCGAAAACGTCAAGATTTGTAAAGGTCAAATTTCTTAATTGGAAACATTTCTCCAAATATTCCCCTGAAAGATCACTATCAAGAATTCCATTGGTAACTTCAAGTGATCGAAGAGACCCTGATATTCCATTCAAGCTTTTAAATATTTCTGTAAGATCATCCTCATCATTACAAATCAAACGTAATGTTTCCAGACTTTTTTGTTTAGAGATACCATAACTTAATTGTTCTATCGGCCCATAGTCATCTTCTGACAATTCAAGTGCGAAAGTTTTGATATTACATGCATACTCCATAACATCTCTAACGAAATCCGCTTTTAAAAAATTTCCACTACATTCAAAATGTTCAAGATTTGATAATTGTTGAACGGCCTTGGGTGTTGTAAATAGTTCTTCAAAATATGCTCCAAGACAACTTGATAAGTATTCACTGTTATCTGGTAGGCGAATTATAAGCTTCTCGATTGATGAACTATTGTTAAGAATTACTTCAAATATAGCCTGTGCAAATGCTAATCTCTCTTGTTCCCTAACATCGAAATAATCATCAAACTCAAAAAATGATGCGTATTCTGAATCATTATTAATAAAATAGTCTTCTCGTAATTTTGGACGTGCGCGAATATGTTTTTTTATCCATTGACGAATACTTAAAAACAATATTGCAAAATCAATAGTTTTTATAAATTGTGGATAATTAAATGTGGTCGCTTTAGGGATGTTAAGTTTTTTCTTGTGAACCCTAAGGAACGACTTATACCCTGCCGAAGTATACGATAATAAAATCGTAATAATTTTATAAATATTCTTATTTCTTTTCTTGGTAGATCGAAAAGGATCATTCCAAAGCAAGTGAACTGCCTCACGACACCAGGTTCTATTGGTAAGCACAATAGAATGAAGTGTTTTTATGTCGTCTACATGTTTGAAAATATCAAATAAACACTCAACAGGTAAGGGTGCCATGTTCTTTTTTCTTTAGAGTTATTCACGAAAAAAGATTAATAAGTATGCGAGTCATTGATTGGAAGATTTTATTTCTCATCGTATCACAAACATGCGAAAAATACATATTTTGCACTAATATAGTTAATCCGTTGCTTCACAAGTTCATATATATCATCAATCATGTGATTAAAAGGAATTGCTAAAACTTTTGCATGATGCTAGAGGTTGGAACCGGTTTTTTAATTGGATAAGTATCACAAAATTCACGTGATAAACCTGAATTATTAACGTTAAAACCTCTAATCGGGCATTACTTATTTTCATACCATGATGTAAAAAAAGAAATTTTGGGGGGAGTTTTTTTAAAAAAAATTTTATATGTTTTTATATATATAATTTTTTGAAAATAAAATTAAAAGCTGGGTTGCCGGATTTTATATGTTCAGAAAATCGATTCCATTCTGAATAACTTTAGAACATTACTGTTGATCGGTTTTGGCACTACGCGTTTATGGATAGTTAATCCGGGTCACCTGGGTAGCAATATCTATGACCCGGTTAACATTTCTTACATGGGTCACCCGGGTGGCACTTATACGGGTACAATATCATAGTACTCTATCTAAACTAGGTAAAACTGAGGTTTATAGATTGCGTGCACCGTACGTATAAACGCATATTTTAGTAGACCGAAAAATTTTGATTTGTGTAAGCCAAGCCTCTGGACTTCGATCGGATGATTCGGATCTGCGAAGCACTTAATGCAAGCTATCCAAAATTACGATCCGAGTAACTTTATTTCATGTGTAGTGTTTAAAAAAATATTTAAACAACGGTACTTAATAACTCAAATAGTGATACTAATGACTTATCGATAAAAATATATATGAAGCAATATACAAATTGCATTTTAATTTATTTTCGCCATACATACATATATTTTATATATGCACATTCTTTTTTATTAACGCTACGTCCATTAAAATTTTCGAAAAAAGTATTAAAACTATCGCCAATAAAAAAATATTCGAATTATCATCTTCTATATATAAGTGTCTAAATTAATTTTCTTAATAAATAATTATTTAGACAATTAGTCTGCCGAAATTATTGTCGAGACTATTTGAATACTTAAATAAAATACATTAATGTAATTATTTGTGAAAGTTCAAGTAAAAAATATGGTAACAGTGAAATTTTTTGCAAAATTACTTTTTTTTCAAAAATAATTTAGACACCATGTATACCATTGTACTATCCTTCTCGAAGTTTTTTCTTTAATAGGCCAATCGCGTTTAACTATTTTCTTTGTTGAGAAAAAGTTTCCAAATTTTCAATAAACTTTATCATTTATAAATTGTTTTTATTAATATGTAAAAAATATAATCAACCTTTCTATGACGAACTGACAGTTCTGGAAGAAAAAAAAAGTTCATTATGGAAAATTATTATGTTTTTTAAGGACCCATGGCACTTCTATGTCGAACTATTATGAAAATTTAAAATCCTGAATTAGTTATATCCAGAGTTCGTACATAGAGATTCATTATATCCAAAGTCGACTGTATAAATGCTTGTATAATAATAAAATAAATAAATAGTACCTCCATTGATATTTCTTTTAATTCAACAGCTTTATCATTTGTAACCTCAACATCGCTGGCACTTGAATCATATTCGTCCATACTTAAATCTATCTCAACTTCCTTTACTGGTAAAAAAAAATTATAAACTAAATAATAACCAATAATGTATAGTACAAATATTAACTTATTTACTATATATTTACTAGGTAATATGTATCTAAGCATATTAACTAAACATATGTTAAAGTACATATATTACTTAGTAAATATATAGTAATAAGTTAATATTTATACTATATATATATTCCTGATTATTATTTAGTTAAATTATAATTTTTTACCCAATGCTTATCACAATATTTCACTTCGGAATTAGGTAATGCGACGGGTATATAGTTTGTTGGGGTTCATTAAGAAATGGATGTTTATTATTGCGTTGAACCTTATTAACATATTGAAAAAAGAGTTTTCCTAATGGTGGTGAAACTAAATGTTCGCGAAGAGAAAACCGACTTTTAAGAAATGCACAATCATCAATAACGCTTTTTTTAAATCAGATAAAGTAAACCTTTTTTCACATATTCGCTTTTTACCTCTTTTAATACATGTTAAGCATTCAGAACGAGTTTTTTTTTTTTCTTACAAAAAAGCTTCTGCTTTCTGCTCGATTTCCAATATAAAAAAAAAAATGTATAGTTTTATCACTTACTGTAATTTAAAAATGTATTGCTAATTAAAGTCTAAAATCAATTGTACATATTGAACCACCAGATCTATAAATTTGATTGTGTTTAACCGTAACTGATTTTTGGGGCGACACTGTAGCGTTATCGATCGGATTTTCAAAAACCTCTTGTGTAAAAAGTTAAAAAATTGAACAAATTCGTGTAACTGTTAAGTATAGACTATTTGAAACATATTTAACAAACCAGTTCTAACCTTATTCTAAACGCTAATCCTAACATTAATGAACTTTAAACCATTTTGCTGCGCCACAAACCTGATACAGAATGTTTTTCATGCTACTGGAGCACAGATTGTAATTTCGCTTCAGATATAACATTGTTTAATACGTATAAATTTCCGATGAAGAAAACTCGAGACAGAAATTGTCTTACGTAAGCAATAGATTTTGTGTTCTGATCCTAACTCTTAAATAATCAAAAACATATGTACGTATGAACGCACCGGGCTTTAAGCCATCCCTCATTTTTGGTAAAATCCCTGACTGCCTCATACCGATACCTCGTACGAAGTCATATGAATTATGTTACCCCATCGGAAAAACTGGTGTTCCGTAAGTATGCATATCTTAGTATGCATATCTTAGTATGCATTATCTTAAGTATATCTGTATATACATACGTATTCGTCAGATTATTTCAAAGAAATATTCATTATAAGCTCTAATTCTAGGAACTAGTGATCCATAGGATTTAAATAGCATAAAACATGTCTACTTTTCCAAATAACAGCCAACTTGATTCTACTAACAGCCTGTGACCCTGATTTTATGTACGTACCTATGTATGTAAATACTCCCTAAAGAAATATTAAACCTATTCTGGTAACATTATTAACGCCAAAGATTTGTTACAAAATCTGGTGACATTAATAACGCCAAAGATTTGTCGCAAAAAATTGATAACGATAAAGTTTAATGAAATTTAATGCTCAGAACATTAAAATAATTACATTTGTTGTTTAAAAATGAGTTCGGGTCTTGAAAGTCCAAATTATCATATAGCTCTTAGTCCGGATGGTCAGAATGTTGTTACATTTAATACAGGTATAATGATAAGTCTGAATGTTAATTAAAATTTCATAAATTATGATAAAATTGATAATATTATTTATTAGCGACTTTGGAGTTGAATGTACGCCATATAGAGAACTTGACATCCGTAAAAACAATAAACTATAAAGGATTTAACAACATAAACACATCGAATCCCCAATTACGTTGGTCATTAACGATTTCCAATTCTATAAACCTTGGTAACCATTTGGACACATTAATCGGTATTTCATGTTTCGATGAAAATCGTGGCCCGAGATCCCAAGCAAAAAAATCACGCATTCGAGGAATTCTAGATGAAGAAGATTCATCATTTGATAATGTAGAACAAGGTCGCTCACTTATAGCAAAAGTATCTCCGCGTACTTGGGTTCTTTCAACATTGTATCGTGATAGATTAAAAACCTCATTGGATGAAATTGGTGGAGTCGTACGGTTTCTCTCAAATTCTCCATTTCAAACAAGTAATGATATTGACTTGGTAATAGTTCACGGAGAAGGAATTTCGAAAACCACGATCGGAACCAATTACGTAACTAAAAGCGGAAACTTTAATCGGAATATATCAGTCACATTGTCAGAAGATTTCTTATTTCCAACTTCTATTTCCAGGAAAATCGATGCTATCCAAGATCTCAAACTAAAAGCGCAATTATTTCATCGGAGTATAGAAAAAAATTATTTTATCGTAGAAAAAGCGGAATTATTGGAAATATACAGTTTAAAAACTAATGAACTCTATAAAGTCTTTCATGTACGAAAAGAATTATCCCAGTTAATTACAAGTGGAAATTCAATTGTTGAAATTTCGAAAAATGATGTGCTGATGGCATATTGTAGTGGTACTAACAGTGTATCATTATATTTGATGGAAAATTCATTAGAAATTGCAACTCGAATGTTTCCGAATCTTTATAGAATAAATTCGATAGATTTTATTCATGATGACGAACAATTACTTATAGTTGGAGAAGAAGAGACCAGTAATGATAGTTCATTGGAATTGGTTACAGTTATTGTGATTTGGAATTTATTCAGTGCATCGGAAAATGCTATTATAACTGTTCAGGATACTGAAAAAATAATCCCAGTAAGACCTCAAGAAGATTATCATAAATTTGCCAGTGCTAGCGGAGTTATTGTTTGTGTAGACGAAGATAATGGAAATATATTTTCAATTAATGATCATCCCTCTTTGGGAAACATTTTAAACCCGCCTCCAATTTCGTCGTCAGGACTTATTCAATTGAATTTTCAGGAAGCTCGGAACCAAATGGATCAAGTTCATCATATAATTTTTACTCAAGATGGAAAATTCTTTGATGCAAATCAAGAACCAAGGGATGTTATTATTGTATATAATACAGAGCCCTGGGTTCGTTTCGGACAATATCCTCGGATATCAGCTTATCTAAATAATGATAAAACATATCAAGTAATTATTGGACAAACAACAATACAAGTATGGAGTAGAACTGATAATTCAATCAAAAGAAGGTTAGAATACATCTGGACAAGTGTTGATAATACAACATTTGATGTTCAAAGCATTTCAATCGGTAACGGGGAATTTTTCATAGATATATCGTTTTCAGATACAGGAGAACACGTCCAAATTCATTGGCCTTATAACCGTCATACCTTGAAAGATGCATGTAGTGCTCTTGAATATCTTTATTATAGACGAAATGAACCAACATCAATCAGGAAAAAACGTATGTTTAATATATTAGTTAGTCAAACAAGTGAAATTCTAAAGAGAGTTATAACAACAAATCCTGATATTTGGAGAATGGCTGATGCTAGATATGAAATAATGCAATCATTAATTCGTGGACGATGTGTTTCTTTGATCAAAAAAATTTTATCCGAAGGTTATCACGGAACTAATTTAACAATGGGAAAAAATTTGCATTTCCCTAGACAATACGAATGGCCTTTGGTACCAAAAAGAAGTGATTTACAGCTAGCCATTGAGTACGCTGGAGAAAATCGTAGTGATACTGTTATAGTTGGATATCTCTTGAATTATTATTCTGATAACGCAATGAATAATGCTGGTTGGATGGTTACTGTATCTCAAGCAATCCCAGAATTATATGATCATAACATGGGTAATACTTAATAAATTTATGTAATGCGATTGTTAGTAGGGTTGTTAATAGGTTGGATTGAGTTGGATTGGTCCCACCTTCAACCCACTCCATTAAATTAGACTTGCTCCAGATTCTACTTCAGGTTGCTTCAAATTTATAGATATTTTTTTAAACCCATTCCAACCTGAATTGGATTCAACATTGAAGTATACTATTCCATTAACGACCCTAACTGTTGGCAAAGTTCTTGGGATTTGGGATTTAACAAAGTTTGCCAGTATGTATAAACATGACTATTGTCATTATTACTAATTTTAAATTTGAATTTCAGATTATTATGTAAAAGAATTGTTTCATAAACAGTGTTTTGGCGCAAAAGAAATAATCGTTGACGTTTCTTTTATAAATCCCGACGATTTACTTGAGGCACATTATAAAAACGTTCATGCTTTGAATCTCAAACCAGCTCTTTTACGCAAATCGGATATAAGTCCCGAACAACTTAAAAAAAAATTATCACTTATTCAAAAAATTTCAAGTTTAAAAGGCATGTTTTCGTTCGAACAACTTGCTAGGGAAGCTGAAGAAAAAATCAAGAATAAAAAATATGGGTATATATGTATTTATGTTATTATTTTATATCAACAATTTTAGGATTATATAATTTAAAATAATTTAATGTAGACTTTATGATATTATTAAACGTGACTCATCGTCCGTATTATCTAATTTGCGCGTGGTCCCTCTTCCAGGTAACGATCATACCTTCTAAAAAAATAACTAAAAAGAATTAGTAGATATAAAATAATTCATACGCTTCATATATCGTATTCTTTTATATTATTAGATTTCACCGTGTATCCTCCGGGCGTTATTAAAGATCATACCAAAGTTCCTTTTATATTACGATTTTTAAAAATGCTAATTTGGCCACGCGGATATATCATCACTGAAGACTCACATTGTAGCCCGTTCCTTCGTACAATCCGTCGCGATAACAGTGATGTAGTATTTAGTAATCCTGCGATAGCAGCGATAATTGATTACAAATGGTCATCAGCTCGTAACCATTTTTTACGTCACTCCTTCATTTATTTTGTTTTCGCTGTTTTATTCGCGATCCTTACCGGATTGACAGATGATGGATTGAATTTACAACCTATTATGGATAGGACTTTATATTTAATTCTTCAGGGTTTATTTTTTTATTTAGGATATTATTTAATAATTGTTGAGATTGTGCAAATTAGGCGTGAAGGGTTCCTTAAATACATTAGTGTATATAACTTACTTGACTTGGCATCTTGTATTATGCCAATGTGCCTAGTTATTACGTCGAATATATATATAACGTTGGAGCCTGGTTCACTTCCAGAAAGGCCGTATAGCATTGCTTTGGCATTTACCATTCTTATTATGTGGGCACAATTGGTATGTAATTCGATTTATTGTATTTTGTGTAAAATATTATTAACCCTTATTATTTTTTATAGCTTTTGTTGTTACGATTCTTTAGAAGTATTGTATCAATATATTCATAATTTATATAGTGGACTGTTTTTATGCCCTCACTTTCATTATTAATACCCTGTAAATTAAATTTCGCAAAGGCATTAATCGAAATTTGATTATGTGTTTGTCAAGATACCTTCAAAGTTTTAAAAACTATAAAATGTATATCAAAGTAGAAGTTGTGCCAAATTTTTTTAAACCTTTGAGCAAAGATATCTCAATAATCACTGAATCATGTTTAATGAAATTTTTCATTTAAATCTTACAAATTTGTAAGATTTAAATAGAAAATTTTCATCGGATAGCGATCGAATTTACAGAGGTATCAATAATAAATCGAGATATAAAAATTGTCATTTTTAAGTACTGTATAAAACTTATAAAACTCATTTATTTGCATTCTTGTATATGCTTTTGAATTTATTTTTTTTTTATTTAGGCTCAGCAACTTATATCTATATTATCATGAATATCTTGACAAAAATTTGGCCATTTTTAGCATTCATGATAATAGTTGTCTTTGGTATAGGACACGCAATGTAAGCTTATCGTTATTAAAAATAACACTTGCAATCTCTGATTCATTTCATACTAACATTAATTATTTTCGTGTATAGGTACATTCTGTTACGAAACCCAAACCAAATAAATCTAGTTCCCAGCGGAACAAGTTATCAAATATTAAATGCCTCAGATCCAAATTCGACAACGAATAATTTGTTTCCTGAAATTGTTATCTCACAATCATCAGATCCCCTTGATATTAATGATAATTACTTTTCGAACTTTTGGAAATCACTAGAAAGCGTTTTCTTTTGGGTTAATGGTAGATGGGATCAACTTGATCAATGGAATTTTCTACCGATTGACATAATAACTCTTCGTATGTATTCAAGGCGGATATGATGTAAACTAATTTGTGAAAATGTGCATTTTAATTTTAACTTTTATTCCTGATAGTTGCAAGTATCTTACTCGTCACAATTATGCAAAATATGTTGATTGCATTCATGACGTAAGTAATGTTTATAGGATGGTCGCGACTCGACTCGAACAGAATCAATCGATTCTGTGCTAGTCGAGTTGAATGGTTCATCAACTCTAGATCCTAAGCCAACATTTCGACATGCTCGTGCTTGACGATCATATTTCTGAAATTTACCTTGTCAAAATTGAGCTGAGTCGAGTCGATTCGATTCGATTCAAAGGCACGAGCTGAGTTGCGATCCGAGTATACTAGAATCTAATAGAGTTGTGACTCGCGATCATGCCATCCCTAATTACCACGTTATATATAATTTTTCATGTTCTTACTTTTCTCGATATTTAAACAAATAACAGAGGTGCATTCGACGATGCTCAATCATCGGGTGAAGATGCAGTCTTGAAATACAGAGCGGATCTAATCTTTGAGTACGAGACTTTGGAAAAACTATTTGGCACAACACGCGAAGATTCACGTTACATTTACTACGTTGGAAAAGCTGATGATTTGGCTCAATGGTTAACAAAAGCCGAAGAATATCAGTTAACACATGGATCTTTGCTTAATGAGAATGTCGATTTAACTTCAGATTGGAGTATTGATTATGATCAAAACGAAGATAGTGATGATGATGATCTTTTATTCGATGATTCTATCAGCTTTCATAAGTATAATGTAAACAAATCTAACGACAAATTGAAAGGTGTTGCACAAGTTTTAAAAGCTAGTAGATTGGTAAGTACTACTAGTGATAAAAAAGCCCTTCAGGAATTTGACGTTAATATTCAACCTGGCCTTGATGATTTACAAGAGAAGATTAAACGTATGGAATATAAAATTGAAAAGATTTTAGAGTTGCTGATAAAAGAATAGGAATAATATATATATATCTATGATGTATTTTTATAAAATTTTTTAATCCGTTATAAGGAATTTATCAATAAACATATCGATATGCAATTTATTATATTTTATTCAATGAATTTTTTTAAAAACTAGCTCTTTACTTTTTACTAAGGATTGCAAATATTTGAAAATAAATCAAATCTATCAGATTCTTCTAAAAATACGCGATAGTAATATTGTATTCTACGATATTGTATATTATTATTGACTACTCGTTACTGTGAGTTATTATTCGTGATGTATTGGAATTATTCCGAAAACCATGCATTAATATTTTAGGAAGCATTTCATGAAAACACTTATAGTAACTGCGTAGTAACCGAGGTATATAAGTTTTGTACTGTTGAATTTGCTGTATTGTGCTTAAATTTAGGCGTACTATATTATATAGGGCTTTGCTTTGAAAAAACCTTACAAGATTAAGGTGGTTCAAATTTATCTTAGAGGAATCAAGAAATAAAACTATAAAAAAAGATCAAATCAAGCAAGTGAATATTAAAAGAAAGAATCCTAAACATGAAGTTAATGGAAAGAAGAAGAAGAAAACTTCTTTACTACAGATGAAGAATTAGAAGATATTAATACCAATTACTTAATAATCTGGGACTTACCAGTAAATATAAGTAAAACACAATTAAATTATATTTGTAAAAGAATTAGAAAATTTATATACTTAGAGTCTCAGGGTTGTCATTGGACTTATTCCAGTCTCTCATGAGTTACTGGACTGGACTGGACTAGATTTTGCATAATTCCAGTCCAGTTGCTTTGTCCAGTCCAAATGGCGCAGTTTATTGTCATTGGACAAAGTCCAGTTAATTGATTGGAATAAGTCCAGTCCAGTCCAGTCCAATGGACCTTATTGGTCTATTTTTAATAAATTTACACATTGGTCATGCTTATTTAAACATATATAAAGATCTTTTACGATAGAAAAAGTCTAATTTTTAATATATATAAAAAATCTTAAGATAACTTGGAACCTTAATTTTATAACCGGATAATTCAAAAATTAATATCTTTAAATATTATTTGAAGGTTTAGCGTTAAGTAGACTATATTTATAATAAACTTAATATTTTTAATTATTGTTATTGTCTGATAATTTCTCTTATAATGTTTGGTTTTTTATAAGTATCTTTTTATGATTAAAAACAAATAAATAATAATAAAATAAAATAAAAATAAACTAAAATAAAATAAAAATAAAAAATAAAAAAAATTTATAATACTAAATCTTTCTTATAATTTAGATTCAAAAATCATCAAATAACAACAAAAATAAAAATTACAATTTATTAATATATAAAGGTGGATCTAATTTGTTAACAAATGGCTTACCAAGAATCCATTTTGCACATTTATCTCTTTGAGGATGTTCATGATCTAAAAGAATATCAGATGATAATTCAGCATTAAGTAATGAATCAGTTATCTCTTCATTCCAATCATATAATTTTTCATTTTCAAGCATAGATTCTCATAAACTTAATACTTTTTCTAAATTATTTTTAGTTAGATCTGCAGAATCTTGAAATTCATTTTCACTATCAGTTTCTTGTTCTTGTTTAATAATATTTGTTAGTTCTTCTGGTTCTTGAGTTATATCTTTATTAGTTTTATATAATGTAGTAGTTGCATTTGAATAATATAATTGTTTAATTTGTTCAAGTTCATGATTTCAGTATGCTTAATTTATTACACCTTTTATTTGAGCCATTGCTAATACCTTAGTATGCTAAAAATAAATTAAACTAAATATTAATTTTTATTTATTTATATATAAATTTTAAAGATTATTTCTTACTTTTAATCAGTTTCTTGAAGCAGAATGTAAATAACCTATCAAAGATCATAATTTTTTAACTGATGCAGCATTTATACAAATACTCATTATTTGACTTGCTACAAATCCTAATTCTTTTATACTTTCTGAGCACCAATTCCAATAGCCAAATACATCTTATTCAAACTGTTCAAATAATTATCATTAAATAGAAATTTTTTAGTTTGATAGTTATCAAATTCTTGTAAAATATTTTTTGGCTCAACTCCAGTCCAAGTAATATAATAGTATTGTAAATATTTACTTAAATCAACCTAATTTAAATATAGTAAATGATTATTAAATTTATCAAACCAATATTTAGAATAAAGAACCTAAAATAAAATAATTATTAGTTATTTCTATTATTACCATTGCTTTTCTAAATGATTATATAATCATATACTAAATTGTAAATCTAAAAGTTCAGATAAGAATTGATAAAAATAATCAAAAAAATAAAATACATCATAAAAACGTGTTTTATCTCTTTGTAAAATATTTAAATAAGCACAATATAGTAAAAGAATTCACTTAATAACTATTATATTTCATCAAAATTCAGAATCATTAATTAGATCACAAATATAATTAAGTAATACCAAATTATTTTCAATTTCAATTTCTTCATTAATTTGAGATTCATATCATGCTATAAGTGTTTTAAATAATAATTAATAAATACTTAAAATTATAATAAAAATATATAGTAAATAGGAATTATCTTTAAAGCTTCTTTAGTTTACAAAAAACTTCCAAAACAGTAATAATAACTATTCTAATATGTATTACTAGAAATAATCAAAGTCTGTAGTTTATTATATATTTGCATTTAAATATTATGAAGTTTTCCAGTAAAATAAGCATATTGTTTACTTTTAAAGTATACTGCAATAAGTGTAGCTTTTAATGCAGTATTTTTAAATAAATTCAATTTTTTAAAAATTTCACCAATACATAAATTGGTTTGATATGCAAAACATGATAAATATGTAATTTGTGGGTTTTCAACTTGAAGCTGTTTTCTTGCTGCAGCATATGATGAATGAATATCAGTTACAATTGCTGCTACTTTTATTTCTTTATTTGTTACACTTTTTGTAATTTCATTAATTTTATTTTTTATTTCTTCTGTATGTGCTCTTTCACTACTAATGTCAATCATTTGCTAAACCAAAACTTTACCAGAACTTGTAAGTAAAATACTTCCTATAATTGATTGATTAATTATATTTGTCCAACTATCTATAGTAAGAGTAACATCATAAAAATCTTTTTGGGCCTTATTTTTAATATTCGCAACTATTTGATTTGAAACACAACTTAAAATTTTACCATCTAATTTTTGTCATTTAGGAAGCTTATATGAAGGATTAATAAATTCAAATAATGTGATAGTATCTGAATTTTGAACCTAACAAAAACTCCATCTATTTGAAATTATTGCTTTTAATAACAGATAATTAAATTTATTAAAATTACTTTCAGTAAATTGACAATAAGCAAATTATCTAATGGTCCATTATTTGTTGAGAATTTAGATACAATAGATACTGAACTTGATGCATAATTTGATGATCTATTATTATCATCTTTATGTATATGGAATCTTTTTTCTTGACACATTTGCTTAATTACTTCACTGTCTGTATCATCTATAATAGCTTGTGCTTCGTTTATTCTATATTTTTGATAAAAAAATTTGTATTTTTTAAAATGATCTTTACAACATTTTTTAGTATTAGTAAATTGCTTTTCAAGAGCATAAGAACAACCTTTTATTTCAAGACAAGCTAAACATATTGCATATTTATTAAAACTATTTGTCTTTTGATCAAGTACTTCAATATAAAAAGTTAATCGATGATAATAGAACATTTTTTTAATAAAAGATTCAAAATTATAAAGAATATAACTGTTTAATTGTTATTACATATTGTTTAAATATTAATTATATTTATTTTAATTATAATTATATTTGATAATTATAAAGATTCTTTACAAATTTTCATATATAAATTTTTTTTTTAGTACTTTAATTATAAAACTAGTTTTTAAATTTTAATGTATTTATTGTTATTAATATTTATACTTGCTTATTCTGTTAGGTACAAGTAATTCAAGTTATTCTTAAGCATATCTCTTAATATAATTAATATAATTGGCTAGTGATTGAAATAATTGAATAAACATAGTAATTGATGTTAAGCTATCTCTTTTTAACTTTCAATTAATAACTAATTCAAAAAAGGTAATTATTTAATTTATTTAAAGCTTTCAAAAAGTATGCATGCATATTATAATTAAGATTGTGCCAAAATTATTATAAGCAGTTTAGTTTGTATTATATAATATTGGCTGATAGTTTTTTACTTACATTAAGCATGCCAGCTGTCAAAGTAAAGTAGAATACGGTAATTATTATAAAAAAATCAAGTTTCTTTTTTTTTTTTTAATTGAAAAAAAGGATTAAGTTATAATTTTTCTTGTTCTTTATTCAGAAATTAATTATTCTTGATTATAGATATTAATTTTACTTATATTTAACCAACTTGTACTAAACTTGTTCAATGTTGATATTAGCAGTTGATTTACAACCATATTTGAAGCCATCTTGTGAAGATTAGTTGATTACATGTAACTTCAAGCCACAACATTGCCCTTAGTTAGATAATGTAAATGTGGTCCCTACTTAGCTACCTTTTCGATCTATTGACTGTCTATTTTCATAGATGTTTCCAACTCAAACATTGAACACACCATATTCTGTTAACCATCAAAAGATCAATCAGAACAAGTATTTCAATTCAAAAATAGGATATTTGGTAAGCAAAACACTTATTATCTCTGTATTTACACTTTTTACTTATATACTCAATTTGACTATTTTTAATTATGTCATATTTAATCATACACATTTGACTTTTTAATTAATCTCTAATTACACTATTTTCTATAAACCTTATTATGACAATTCTGCCACACCATACATACCCACGGTTTGACATCTGAAATTTTGAATAATAAAATTTGCTTCTAGCTCAAATAACTTATCATAACAATTGCTATATTTGGCTACAACAAAATAATATATTCGATAGCACAATTTTATATTATAACATTGAGATATACTGTAAGAATCAGTTAATATTATAATAAAATAAATATATAATATATTAAAAAAATAAAAAATAATAGTAAATCAAAGGTAGTAAATGTTTATTATGGCTTTCGATTATTTAATATTTATTGGACTACAATTGGACTATATTATCTAAGTCCAGCTACTGACCGTCCAATGGACTGGACTGGACTGGAACACGTGTTCCAGTGGACTGGACTAACCCACGTGACAACCCTGAAGTAGATATATGGTAAATGACAATAATAATACTCTTATTAATATAACCTCACTTCTTAATACGGTTAATTTGTTACTTAATTTTAATCTATAGGGCTCTTGGTTGTGTGGTACTGGAGATGTTTACTGATGAGCGACTTGGGCTCCATTTACGGATATCACTGCAATGTATAAGGTACTATTATAAGGGTTTTGATTTCTAGCTGTTATATTTCTCATCAAATATTAATATTTCAGATTGGAAGCGAGAAAAAAGCGCCTCCAATAAGAGATGATGTCAAAGAGTTAATATCAAAAGAGGCCATGGACTTCTTAAACCAATGCTTTATAATGTAAGAATTTGTACAAGTGATATATACAATTTTATTTTTCGAGTGGCCAGATGGTATTCCTCAATGATATATAAACATGATCAAATCGAGTGACTGAATGTCTTCTAATGACAAGTTAAAATCTGTCACTTAGACCATTCAGATATCACTGATGAACACCATCGTCCTCATGCTCAGTTCGTTTGTATTTATCTAAATTCTTTAAATAATAGAGATCCAAGTTTCAGACCAACAGCTGAAAGGCTCTTAGAACATCCTTTCACACAAGAAGATCCAAATTTCAATTTTAAAGTAAATGATAATAAATATAATGATTAGTATCCTTTATGCTTTCTTTGCTCAATTGGTTTTTTTTTTTAGGACTATATGAATATATAATCATTAATTGGATTTTGTATGTTTTTTTTGAGGGAGGAGCTAATAATATCCTTACTTACGTGTTAGTTTTAGACAATTGCTGTATTCCTGTTGGCAATATGTATCTGAAATTCATTATTTATGTGTACTTATTGTTGTTGTTTTTTTTCATTGTTACCATCTTTTTTCACGCTTGTCTGAAACAAATAAAATAAATTTTTGACTTTTTTGATTCGTGTAACCAAAATTTTTATATTAAATTACATTTCAATAACATGAGTCCAAATAATGTCTGAACCTAAAATATTAGTATTTTGATCGATTAATATTATTAGTAACGTTTTTTAGAGAACTTCAACCAGCAATTTCGATTACAAGCACAACTTTAATTTTTATTAAGATGAATTTTCGATGTTCCGCACATTGTCTTTAGTGGTGCGACTATAACAAGTGTCAAGTATACGCAAAAAGCTGGTGGACACGGCCATATATTCGTTTCGACACTCATTCAATGCAAATTTTTTTTTATAATTATACCGTTATCAATCAGTAGATCTTGCCATCGACAAAAACTCATGGAACATACATTTTTTTACCACATAGGCAGGTGCAAGGGTATGGCATGTTGGAATAATTGGTCATGACGGAATTTGGATTTAAGAATATATGGAAAGTCAATTAGTGAACGTGGATAATATAATTGTATCTACATTGTTTATTATTGTTTTATATGCAAACAATTTTTCAATTATGTTTATTTTCATATGTATCAACTGGAACAAGCCAACTGGACGAGCCATCATTCAAATTTCCCAAGACACACGAGATAATGCTATAACTCTGCTTCCAGGAACGAATCATCTGCTAAGCGAAATAGAAGCACAAGGCTTTGGAAAAGGTGATTGGTCAGTTTTTCAAAATGAAATAGGACTTATTGGCGGTAAGATATTGAGGCTTTGAAAAATATTGGTAAGTAAGCCTTTTTACTGATTTACCAGTATTATGTCGCATCTGAAGTAGCGATTTATCTAAAGTAGCGCCTGACTAAAATTAAGCCCCCGAAATTAGATGCATTAGATTATAATTTTAGCCAGGACACTACTTTAGATATATAAAGGGCTCCAGAAGCGACATATATATCGATTTTGGCATTAATTTAAAAATTTTGTAAAGGGCTGACGACTGTTTTAAATGCAGCACCAATTTCAGAAGATATTACAAAAATATTACAAAAATATTTTCATTTTATTTAGTAGATGATTTAATTGTCAATCAACTAGAGGCAACCAGAGATTTCACCACAGGCGAAAATCAAAACTAGGTTCGACTTTTGCCAAAAAAAAAATTTAAAATGGCAAAACTGGCGAAACTGCTAAAAGGTGGAGAAACTAGAGATTAGTGAAGAATGAGAAAGTTAGTAAAAAAGCAAAAATAGAAAGTAATCATATATACATGCATGATTATAGTATTTAATTAAAGGTTTAAAAAAATCTTGATAATATAACAATAAATTTATTTAAATACGTATTTAAATAAGTTTATTTTATACAGTGTGAAACATCATAAACCAACCCCTTTTTATCTGTATTTTACAAAAATTGACATAAATATTTCAGACTTTGAATTTTCAAAGCTGAATTGATTTATTATAAGTTCAAAGCCTGAAGTATAGTTTTCTTTTAATAGTACTCAAATACAAACGAAAGCTATCGTTTTGTTTATACGGACGAGAATTAGATCTTATTTTTGACTATGGAGTCCTACAGCTCTAATGAAACCTTTCATATCGTTTTTTTTTTTACTTTATTACTGTATTATGGTTGGTTTTCAAAAGTACTGTTAAGTCACCTGATCTTCAAATACGAGACAGGAGAAGTCTCCGGACACCTACCAGCTCTACCAATTCGGGTTTTCCGGCACGTGATTCTAGCCAATTAGATTGAAGGATCAGGTGTAACGTGAGAATCACGTCTTTTTAAAAAATCGCCATTAACTCGAAATTTTACCTATGAAACTGCCTTCTGCGTTCTAATAAAAAAA